TTAGATATATAATTCGATCAATTCAAAAATTGTTTGGAGGAAAACGATCGTTAGTCGATTTAATCTTGCTATTTGTTTGTACAATCATCGCGTTACGCAATTTAATTAAAGATATTGTGAAGCATGGAAAATAACGATTTAATTGATCTGTGTCGAGGATGTTTTGTTATAGCGAACAGCTCTTTCCAGGATTGATATTTACCAACTTGTGTTTCAGATCTCTTTAATTCTGGAAACACGGAAAGCGACGACATTCAAGGTGAGTCACTTTTAGTTATTTCGATAATTTCTGGAAAGAATTTAATGTTTATCATTTTTACTTATATATATATATATATTAATTATATTTACAAATATACATGAATACGCTTGTATTAACGAATTGTAGGCTGTAATTTCAATTATATTTGGATTTTTATCGTATAATCTCAATAATGAATTAAAAAGAATATTTTCATAAAAATTTCATATAAACACTTTATAATAATTTCATATAATATCATAATAACCGATTTTCAACATCGATTGTTACCATAATAATAACAAAATTGTAATATAATAATAAAAATATAATAAATACATGAAAATTGCATTTCTCTCTTGTTGAAAATTTAATTATTTTGTTATTTTTATTCGCATATTGCGACTTCCAATTATTATCGTCAATATCAAAGATCATTGTATGTTCGTTGATATTCTATAATAAAAATAATTTATTTTTATATATGTTTTACAATTTTTATATTATTATTTGTTATATTTTTTTATAAAATTATATATATATATATGTATGTATTCATTTTAATGTATAAAAATATTATAATTACATAGTACGTAAGTTTAATATAATAAAAGGTTAGAAGAAAAAGTCTTATTATTTAAAAAGAAAGTCCTATATAACAAAGTAAATAGGTACGATAAAATGATATTTTTAGAATCTTTTTCTTTCAATTGAAGCTAAATCATTGAAGTATTTATATTAAGTATTGTTACACATTTTACATTCGTTATATTTTATAATTTTTTTTAGAATTCTAATATGATTTATGGATAACTTATAAAGAGAATAAAGTACGTATAATTTTAACAATAAAAATCGAAAAGTATTCATTGTTAGTATCATATATTTTGTATAGAATTTATTTAGAATAAAATTTATTTAGAATTTACTATAAAATTTAAAAAAATATATAGCTTAATCGATATCAATAAATTTTTAGTAACGAATTCCTGATTTTTAAAAAGCTTGCACATGAATAATAACATTTGATAATAATATTGTTAAAAATATTGACGATTGTTAAAAATATCCTCAATATAATTTTATTATGATTCCACTTCAATCTTTTCGAGAGCTCACACGATTAATAATATTGATATATATTGACAATATTATTAATGTTAATTGTATCCAGTCAGAGAAATATCGAATTGATCTTTGCTAATAAAGTTAATTGCAATAATACTCTATATACAAATACATGTATATAAAGTGAAATGCCTTATTCAACAATATCTATATTTTAAGAAGTTAAAGAATTAATATTAATTAATTATTATTAAATTAATGTTATAACACTATAAAGAACTTCGTTTATATTTTAAATAAGAGTATACGTTATTTATTAGAATAAGAAATAACGTATATATATAAATTTATTGGAGAAAGAAACATTTTTTCCTAATGAATTAAATGAATTTTTATATTATAAAAAATGTCGATTAAAATTCGAACTTATAAAAAGAAAAGCGAATAAATTAAATCTTTATAAAATAAAGGTACAATAATTGGAATGGATTATTATGAATTTATTGAAATAAAATTTATAAATAAAAAATTAAACAGACGAAATTATATTGTTTTGATGTACAAGATGTTGATACATTCGTAGGATACTTTTAGAAGATTAATTCTAGAGGCCAAAATAAATATAAAAGTTAGTACACAAAAATGTCGGTTAAAGTTTATTTATTAAATTATAAACAATTGAAGTTTGCGTTAGATGAAGTGCGAGATAAAACGAGACAGAATTTATCTCACTCTATCTGTGTCTTGCTTTGTCTAAAGCAAACTTCAGTTTTAACTGAAAAAATAAATCTCAACCGTCATTTATGTATATTCTTTTTTACCTTTTGTGTTTGTGTTGGCTTTTAGAATTTATCTTCTTAAGATGTTTCATAAATATATTAACACCTTGTATATACAACAAAGCGAAGACAATACAATTTCCCGCAAAAATATAATATTTTAACAGAATAATGTGCAAGCGTTTATACAGCAAAATGTATAAGAGACTACTTTGATAAAATAAAAAATAAATATTAGAATAAGCTAATGAGATAATTAATCGATTAACAACGTCAAGTTGTTAAGTTTGTTATGTATACGTATTGTTATCGTCGATTCATTGAAGTGCGTGTTTAATGGCGGCGACCAGCGAGTCTCTGGCGACCAGGAAAACATGAGTGATGTACGGATGACTCGGTGATGGAAATAAATGAAATGCATTGAATCAAACGTATTATTTACACACCACAAGAAATAATTTTAATTTTTAAAAATAATTTTTCTTTGGAAGAAATAGATATAGATCTTATATATTCGTATCTATGCCTGATGATTTTAATAAATTTAAAAATTTTTCAAATGATTTAACACTCTCACGAAATTGAAAAATTTGTCAAACATTCCTTTCAACAATAAAGGCGTTTTTGCAAAGAATCCAATCAATATTTTTTTTCTTTTTTTTTTTTTTTTGTAAAGGAATTTTATAATTAATAATTTTTTTGACATCCATTCTGTTCGAAATTTTCTATGATATTCACAATTTTTCGAGTCAACAAATTTATTTCATGATTTTAAATCGCTCACTGACTTTATCAATAGAACGTTCAATAGAATGAAAGAAAGTTGAGAACTTAAAAAAATCTTATCCGTCTTTCGTATCAATTTATTATAACGTATTTTTATGCAAAAGATAATATTATACGTAAAAAAATTGATATAAGTCCTTATATTTTTAAAAACTTTTATTTTTTTTTTAAATATACATCTGTATACATACGTATATAATGACAAAATAGATAACAAAAGTATGTGAAAATATTTATTACAAAAATATCTCTTATTGTGTTTGACATTTTGTTAAGTCTCTTGAATTCAAATTTCTGTTTATAATTGTTGCATAATAATTATGTTTTCATTAAGTAATATCTATCTTTAAATTAGCTAAACATATGATTTTTTATATTTATATTAATATTTGGAACTTAAAGAAAAGAAGGAGAGATATTATGTTTGTTTTTTCCCATATCTTTTCCATATCTTCATATGAAATAAAGTTAAGAACGGTAAGATCAAAGCAATGCGAAGTGAAGAATACATGTCGATGAAATTTTTTGAAAAATTCAAATAATTATAAATTATAATTATTATATATAATTTTTATTATTTTTAATAATTACTTATCTTTTCATTTCGTTCATATTTTACCATTATATCAATTTGATACAAGACACATAAATTGCGAAAATAAGTGATGAATGAGAGGATTAATGAGAAAAAATGAATAAAAAAAAAAAATTCAAAATATATTTAAAAACTATTGCTTTGAAAATATATGTTGAATGAAAAGAAAAGCATAAATTATATTATATGTATATATTATAATTATAATTTTTCGGTAAGTATATCATTTTGTTATATATTTTTCGAATTAATATAAAATATTTAACTATAAAAGAATAAATTGAACGGTAGTCATTGCTTTGATCAAAACTCCCAAAATAGGATAGTTTTACAGTTAAAGCTCGATCTTTTGTTTATATTCTGGGTTGATGTTCTTTTTCACCACGACGAGTATATTATACATATATTCGTGAAAGATTGATCAATGATCGACTTCAGTCACAGTGGTTCACTAGTTTATCGACCTAGTTTTTTCTCGTTTTAATGGTTAAATTCTATTTTATACATATTTTTCGAACGAACAATTATTAGTTTCAAATTAGTATCAAATCAATCGTAATAATATTCAGTATCATAATCAGTATATTTAAAGACATAAAAATAATATATTTTGATTAAACATTCATTTTTAAAAATAATCATTTTTAATCTTTGTATGTAATCGTTGTATGTAGAAATTCATCAAACAAGCAAACAAAACACACACACTGCGAATATCAAACCATGTCGCAATATATATAAACAACAAGATTTTTCATATGCATAATATAAATAACAAGAAATTAAATTTTTTGAAATAAGTTATTAATTAGTAATAATAAACATCAAAAGCAAATATATTTATTATACATATTTTGTAAAAATGTCAAAATTGTATACTATCTTTTTATCACATATTGCATCCTAAGTAAAAAGTTACACAAGTAAAATTAATTACAAACAAAGATATACATTTTTGTTGCAATGATATATATGTATTATATAAAATGGATTACAAAAACCAATTTATTTTCCATTTTATATAAATGGTAAAAAATGTTTACAGATATTTCTTTTCTTTATATTTCGTGTTATAATCATAAATATATTCTTAATAGATGAAATACCTGCGATGGAACAATTAATTTCGTTACCACAAAGTTAAGCAACAGTTCAAATGTTTAAAGAAATATTCCAAACTAGAATCAGAATAGAAGAGAAAAGGTATATTCTTGCGGACGAAATTAAGGGAAATTCATATAGTATCGCTAATTGCGAATTATCAATGTGAAGAATCGGGCAGATTCCTTCGTGTAAAATAAGAAACATGAAAGCAAAAAAGCAAGAAAGGAAGGAAGAAAGGAAGGAAACCAAAAAGGATAGAATGGACGGTCAAGCCGAGTCGATAAACAAGGAATGAAAATATACAAAGTTATGGGAAGATGTCGCGGGAGCTAACCCAGGTGGTATGTTAGATCAGATCCACAAAACACAGGAAACTAATTCAATTTTCTAGGCAGATGGGCTAGTCTTTTGCGAAACAAGAACGAAAGAGCAACAATACCGATAAGAACTTCCCTTTTTAGGCGAAAAGGAGAATGTTAGTCTCTTTCATGCGGTATATTACAGTCAATGAGAGAAAGGAAAAAGGATGAAACTTTACCGAGAAACGGACGAAATAACAAAAGAAACTCTCTAAATATCGCGTAATGCTCGTAGAGGGGTTAGATATTGCATCCTTTTTTTCTTCTTTTCTTCTTCCCTCTTTCTTCTTTTTTCTTTTTGCTTAATATCTTTCTTTTCTTTAATTT